AATGAAAACGAACAAAAGCTATTCTCTGTATAATACGTGATAAATGATACGCGGATTTTGTGGCCAAACGTTAACAGGTTCAAATGTTTTGTAAAAAAAAATGTTCCTAGTAGAAGTAGTTCACACTTACACTGAGTTACACCTCATTGATTTATTATTTAACGGTCGTGTGAACACTATAATATACACATGCTTTACGGTAACTTATCTAAACCGAAATCTTAAACTTAAAACTGATGGATTCCTTATAGTTTTAAAGTCATTTAAATAATTTAATAATAAATACACTCCGGATGTGTATTGGGTGAGAATATAAGTATTTAAAAGAGGAGAAAGAAGGGGAAGAAGCGGTGGGGAGAGAGAGAATAAGGGGAAAGGAAGGTAGGGACATTATTCATCAAATCTAAAACATTTATGAGTCAATGTTTTACGTGCGAAGAAAATTTGATTATTTTTGTAATGCATTTAACAAATCATCTTTGTAGAGCCTACATAATCAGGTGTAAGTAATAAAATAAGGTCTACCCCGTCTCGTGTTTTATCCTATTGAAGAAATTTGATACGATGTAGAGGCCAAACAACTACCGGTGTTCTATTTGCGACAATCTGAGGACTGCACAAGTAGACAATAAACATTTTACGAGACTGCTAGCTGCAAGCAGACAAAATAATAATATTTTTATACCACACTGATGGTATGGTTTTGGTTACCAACGCAAACACATATTTAGAACACATAGTAAAAAGACTGGTAACATATTATTTATAATTAATTAGGTACCTAAAGGAAAATCATTTTACCCATATAACATCAGCTACTATGATTGTTTTTTCTTGACTAGCTCATATGTTCGTGAAAAAAAATCGAACAAATTATGAATAAGTACTCGAACTTGTTATTACAATATTGTTATTGTACACTCTGCACTCACTAATGTTTTACATGCATTATAAAAAATATTTCTTGTGCAAAAAAGAACGTTTTTTTTTTTAAGAATGCAAAAACTTTTTTATTTTTGATCAGAATTAAAAAAATCGCTTATGATTGTGTTCGGGAGATCCTGTATGAGATTCACGTATGAAACACAGCATTGGGCATATGCACACCATTGCTCCCCCCTACTAGCCCTACAGGTAATTGATCTTAAAATTTGCGATGACGCGCTCACATTTGGCCGTCCAGTTCTCCCATTGCTCTTCGGATCTCATTGCGTGGGGACCAATGCTGGCTACCACGGTCTTGCGACCTAACCCCGAATAATCCCCGTGGTCTCACCCAACTCAAACAAGAAATCTAAAGAGTGATGGGAGAATTGGACGGCGAAATGTGTGAGCGCGTCATCGCAATTTTTATGGGCAGATCAATTGCCTGTAGGGCTAGTAAACTTCAGGATCTCCTGAACACAACCGTATGCGATTTTTTTAATTCTGATCAAAAATTAAAAAAGTTATTGCATTTTTTTTAAAAAAACGTTCTTTCTTGGACACGCTATGTCTTTGAAATTGAATTGAGAAAAACGTAAACAATGCAAGACTATAGAATTAGTTATAATTAATATGCGCCGGTGATATAAAATGCGCTGAACAACTAATGATCGGGTTAACCAGAGATAGAATAATAAAAACCCAGTAGCACTGTTCAGTTACATACAATAATACTCTTCTAAACTAGTAATTATCGAATGTTTTTTTTTGTTTTAAAGAAAATACGTTACCCTGCGGATAATACTACTTTACTGTGTAATTACATCCTACGCGAACCTTTAACCGGACAGAGATTTAGGTGCACTAGTTTATTGATCACTTGGAGTTTTCGAACGTGGACCGGTTTTCAAGTATGTTTTTACGTGGAAGTTATTTATGATAGTTCATTGAATATTTTATGGGTTCAAACTACGCCTTATAGCATAACCAAATGCCGATAATGTCGCCATCTTTTCCTTTTTTCTTTGTCTATTACCAAATCAAGATGATAATAACGCGACCGTCTTTCATTTCTATAGCATTGTAACTAGTAAAGAGTTGGATAAAACAAACTCAGACTTTTTGATTTTCAATTTTTGAAGAATTATTTCAAATATATTTTTTATTATTTAGCAAGGAATTCAAAAAGTATGAACATTTTAGGGGGGGGGGAATCTGTTTTTATGATAAACAACTTTAATGCTCTGTAATGAATGAACTCTATCGGATAAAGCTCTGAAACTCTTCACTGCAGTCTGCACTTCTACGTGCCAAGGTGATTTTAATAAGACCCTATATAACAAAACCCGTTCATGGGTTTCATAACAGAGAAAAATATATTAACTACCAAAAAGAGTTCTAATTACTGAACTAATAATTACACATTACAGTTTAACCTTTAAATTAAGATTTTGCAAACAAATTCCTATACCTAACTCCTTAATAAATAGGGGTATAACGGCCTCTTAAAACTAAGAAAAATATCTTTTCACTATTAGCATTATAGTTTTTTTCCTATTCACAGCTAGCTCTTTAAGTTATCAAGATAATTTTTTTTTATTTGAAAATTCCATACTTACTTTACTTCTTAAAAATCAAGAAATTTAAATGATTGTAATCGAATGGTATGTGACAATCGTACATCAACTGAATTCCTGAATAATGTGTGCATTTATGCAATTGAAAAATAAGAAATAAAAAAATAAATTACAATTATGTTGTATAAAACTAATAGTTGTTTTTTTAATCATTATTTAGGCGAAACGGTAACATAATTTAGATGATTAATACCTATTCATATTCCAAAAGAAGAAAACCGTCAAGATAATTTATTTATAGTTCCTAAGTAGGTAAACAATTATTTTACTTACAATGTTTGAGGAAAATGCGACATTGGCGAGTATTGATTTTAGATGTTGCTTTTAAATTTAGATTTAAAAACTATAAATTCTATACTAGTCAAAAAGCATTAGTAGTAAGTTTGTATCATGAAGCATTCTGAATTATTTAAACAGTGTTCAATAATTATGTTGGATTTCTCAGCACGATTTGGATGATTTCATGTTATATCATTTTTCAAACGCCAAATATAAATTTAGCGTAAAACAGCAATTAGCTGCCACAGTACTAACCCGTACTCGGAACTGAACAAGTATATTTCATGAAAACTGGTTTAACATTGTTCCTAGAAGAAAATAACGTATCACCATAACTGGTAATCATAAATTTCAATGACAGGGTTATTTTTCTAAAAAAATATGGTAGCTCGCTCGAACTGTCTCAATTGGTAATTATTTGAAGTAAGAGATAGATAATACAAGCTTGATTAATCATCAAATTTTGACATTTTTTTAATGTTAACAAAAACTGAAATTATAGTTAGGGGTGATTTTTATAATACATTATTAATGCAACCAGAATACAAAGTATACATATAATATTTCAAAAATATATAGAAAATGTTAAAAGTATTTATTGATCATAAAAAGTTTAAAACCTTTTCTACAAAAATGTTAATATATAATAATAATTTTCTTTTGGTGTGTACATCTTATGAAGTTTTTAATTAAAATGGAAAATAATTTGATATATCATGTTAAAATTTTATATTTACATTTTGCCCACTTGTTTACAATTACCGTATCTAAAATGTGAATAATTATACAAGTACAAATTCCATTAAAACAATTATTTCCGTCCTTTTTTAGGAGTAAACATTTTTCGTTCTTATTTTGTTTCTTTATTACTATTATACAACAATAAGAAATAGAGTCATAGATTCAACTTAACTTTGGGGGCGGTGGATAAATTTTATACTACCTGAAAATCGACATACTGACACTATTAAATGAAATTATATAACATTATATGTATTATTTTATGTAACATTATATCAATAATATTACCTCATTTGAAACCACATCGTTTAGAAAATCGAATGTATAGTACATAACAACTAACTAATTTCATTTTGTACTGAACATTTAGTGACTTCACTAAAGTCTAAATATTCTCCAAAATAACTAACAATATTCTAGCTGAATACACTGTATTTTTAATAATATATACGTATCTCATTAAAAGTTAAAACTATCTGATATAACGTATGTGAACGGTACTGTGTCACACGCCGTTTCTTAAATTTTTACTTGAAGTATTTTATAACTTATCAGCCTACTAGTTATTCGATTTTTATCTATTATTCTGTACAATAAACATTGGCATTGTGTTTTCTTTCAATAAGTGGATTTATAGCATTTCCTCCTAATCGACAAGTTTTATTAACGACCCTGCACGATAGTCGACCGTTCGTTTAGGACAATTTTGTTAAAACGGGTAAACTTTTCAATACTGTTAGGTCATTTCAGTGTACTTTATCCGATCTTTAGTAATTTCAATGTGTAAACTAATTGGTTCAGTGGTCATAAAGCTGTCATAGTAACAAAAACATAGTTTTAAAACTAATACTTCCTCAACTCCACATCCAAACTAAAATATGGGTTAATATTAAAAATGAAACATTATTTTATGTAAAAATGGAATAATTAATCATTTTTTAATTTTACAAATTAAGTATTATTGATTACTAAGTATTAACCGATTAGAATAAAATTCAAAGTTAAAGTCATGTAAATAAACCGCACAAAATCACTAAAAGTTAAAAAGTCTTAACCCGGCGCATAATGTCGGCAATTACGTTACATTGATGCGTATTATTTAAACTCACTGGATCTTACATGAATACGGCGATAAAGAGTCTACCACATGAGCCTAAATGAAACCCCGAGAACGAATCAAATACAAATTGAATTTAGGTTGTAACTTTCAGTTCCACGTTCCATTCGAATTTCTACCCACTTAAAGCTATTGTAATGTCACTATAGAACATTTATTTCCACTGACAACACTCTGTAAGATTACCAACTCATTGGTCAAGATACCTAAATGTTTGTTTTTAATGCCTCTGGTGACTATTGTTGCATTTTTACGACTATCGCGTGGGAGGTAGAAACTAATACTAAACAAATTATACCAACCTGTTCAGCCGTCTTTGTAACAAACAGATGACAGTATTGTTTATTGATGTGCCCGCCTGGTTGTCTGGCCAGGAAACAAAACTGTTTACAACCTGGATCGCACGTGGCGTATGACACCCTTTTGAGACCATGAGCCATTAATACTTCCTGAGGAACAGAATAAAAAAGTAATTAAGCTCATTATATTTAAAAATTGTATGAGCATTAAAAATATTTTTTGCAAAAGTATAACATATAAAGGGCTTTTTATCATTTTAAAAAGTGAGACCGAGAACGAGTAGTTGAAGGAAATTAACTAATTTCCTGTTGCTACTGAAATAGAAAATTGCCTTCTGAGTAGTCGAGTAATTGAATTTCAAAGTAGTGACATTTTCATTTCCTCAAACTATGGCAGCTTCCGATAAACAAACATACCTAGTAATGTATGTGTATACAGTATAATTAAATTCCAACAACACTTCGTTCTCTTTAGTAATAAATAGACAAAAAGTAAAAAAGTGTTTTGACATAAGCCTTAAAATATACGATATAATATGGAACTATATAATTTCTATAGTGTAGCCTAAATAATATTTATTATACCGTTGATAACAAATAAAATCTATGTAAACCGTTAAAATACCTTTACTCATAAATAGCAATATATAATATAATATAAAAGACATGAAAAAATCGAAATTTGGTTTTCCATGACTGTTTTGATATATATATATAAATATTGATGTATATACCCTTAGTGCACTCAACAATTAAATTAGAATACACAAAGTCGGTCTGTATGCGATTGAAATATTTCCTAAACAAAACTCTTTGCCTAATTCAAAAGTTTTTTCGACTTTTCGAGAATTTTAAATATTTTTGTTTTGTACATAAGTCAAAACACCAAGTCCGAACGAACGTTTCGAGCGACCCTCCGCGGATTTTTTTTGAAAATTACACTGCATGTGTATTACGATAAATAGAAAGTTTTAAAAAATTGTTCGATCAGTTGTTCGGCCATAGTCATAAAAAGTAGTTTAGTTTTTTACTTGACACTTCTTTTAAATCATATTTTTGGCCATCAAAAAAAACAAAATTATTTAAAATCGGTTTTATGTCAAATAACCACAGCTTAAGCTCAGGATCTTAAATTAAAAGCCTTTTATCCAAAAATTTAAACTATAATATTTAATTATCACAATGAATAATAAAAAAATTATAATATTAATTTCAAATATAGATATTTATTAGGTTACTTTTTCTAAACTAGAAACCATTTTCAAACTAATAGTATTGTTAAATACTTCCAATAAACTAAAATACTGAGTTTTAAAGACCGCGAAATTAAAATAAATTTGAATAATATTTATGTTTAATAGTGTGCTTAGTATAGATTTATACAATTTTTAAAAAATACCTTAATTTTATTGCCACTAAAATGCTTGGCCGTTATTAAGAAAATAATTTCTATCCACTTTTGAATTTTGGAACATAAATTTATGCCGCTGCATGATTGGGCACTCGGACCATAAGTGGATATGCGTGAAGGCTCCAAATAAATAACTGGCATACCTATACGGCTGGATGCATCATAGCCGGAAGGACATTTTAAGGAATGTTTCTCCGAGAATTTATAATGATAGCTCAATAGAAGCAGTTGGAAAAGAATTGTCATCCTTGCCCTTGTGGGGTTACATAGATACTTAACGGTTTTAATGGAGCAATGAACTGTATTATTGTTTTTATGTTCTGTGTACAATACTATTAAGAATATTAACCAACTTTTGGCTCTTTCTGTATTTTTTTATTTAGATAATTGTTTAATGTATAGTAATTAATTGATGTCTAAAATTTGAAGAAATTAAAACCCATACAAATTGAGTTGATATACTTAAAAATTACAACTCTGTTACCCACATTGTTTGACGTTCTCTTTTTATTTAACTTTTGTGTACTTAAGCCGAACTCAAATAATTATTTCCTATTAATTAGTAAAACAAGTGTGAATTAGTAATGAACATTAAATCAAGTCAAAAAGATCAATAATTTCTTTCCCCATATTAAATATAATGTACTAACAATCTGAAACAAATCTTGCCATGCCACATTGACATTTTATAAATGTAAAAATCTGCTATTTAACTTTTCATAAACTTAGCATTTTGATACACACGATTGTATATTTATAAGAAGAAGGAGTTTAGAAAAATAGCGATTCCTGAGTTATGTACATGCATTATTCATACGGCCGGATTGTCGTTGCCCTGAGCCTTTACTATTGCCGATTCCGCCGACGTTGGAAATGCGATTTATTTTCATGTGATGGTTTATAATATGACGTGGATGAGAATAAGCAAAAATATAATACATTTTTATACACTCAGGCGCTGAGGTGTAGACACAATAATAAAAGTAGAATAAAATATGCGTAGGCTTGTCTAAATTCTCGGGTACCTACTATTCGTTGCCGCGGTTCTGGCCTATGTGACGTAAGAACAAGAAAATAGTATAAGGAAGGAAGGGTATGTATATAAGGGTATCGTTTTTATGAAGTGGTGGCGTCGGTAGACTTTAACAGAAATTGCATGCTACACTGCTCTTCTACCATCATTCTATCAAGAGATTTACTATAGTACTATACATTTCTCTGACGTCATGCATGCATTAGGAAGAACTTACTAACTATGTAGTTAGTATATACAAAATGTTGAAATAAAACCAACAGCACGTTATATATGTATTTGTATAAATAAAAAATTAACCGTAAATTTGCCATACTAAGTACTATAGTACATACTAAGTACCTATATAATTATAATACACCTCCCGTCGTGTCTCCATTTAATATACATTTTAAATGCTTTTATTTGCAGACTTAAAATCAGTCTGTGTAGCTTCCAATCAAACTTCAGAACATTTTTAATTTAATATTTTGGAATATATTTCGTTGTTTGTTATTTTTAGTACAAAAAAATATTTAAATACAATTTTGATTGATACAAAAATGAATACTTATTGTTTTACGACTGATAAAAAAAGATTTACCAAAAGACGACTGTATCATTGGCGAAACTAGAGGAGTGCTAGAGAATTCAGACCCTTTAGAAAATTCTTAAGAGTAACATAATTTTTGAGTACTAATGTATGTAATATATAAGTTTATTTATTTATTATTTATCTTATTACCTAAGTAGTTTATTTCATCCTAAGCCATTCTTACATAAAAAAACACAAACATTTTAAATTTAAAGTTACACAATTAAATTGTATTGCGCGATACTATTTAAATAAATTGCCAACAATTATAAACGGGAAGTATAAATGTTTACATACGATTTTGAAGATAACATAATATCTAATCTAAATTTTAAAACATACATTTGTTGGCCAAATTATGTACATAATTTTATTATGTCAACTGAATGGAGTTAATGGAAACTTAGTGAGTCGTTACTGATTGAATTTAACATATCAGTGATGATGCTGGGAGGGGAGGTTATCTGTAAGTAAACAGTGCAGGCGAATAGGTAAGTGATGGTGAACCGTACTGAAAGAGTAGGGGCGTAGCGACGTCAGAAGCTATTTGATTGATGGTCGTATCGTTCTTCTTTGGCGGGTTGATTAATTAACGACAGTCATCCCTGATACTAGTATGTATTCCTGCGGTTGTACCAAAAAAACGCTATTTCCAGATAAATACACCTATCCGCCATCTTGTTCCTCCTTACACTTCATTCGAATTTTGATTCATGTTTAACTACATTATACATCTTAGCCGTCCATTAATCAACTAAACCTTCAGGTATTCCATCATCATTTGCTTGGATTTTCCAAGGAACTTGAATCTTTTTATCTTTTCTTTCGAGAAATTCCCAATGAAATTTAACTTGTTAATAGTTAATATTATTTATGAAATATATTTCACAATATTATTGAGTAAGTAAGTCTATTAATTGTAAGTTTTACCGTAATATCGAATACAATTTTTTTAAATTTTAATGACACAGTTTCCTATAGAATTTTACATAGTCATAGTTACAAGTAATAATAAAATTATAAAATATTTTAAAATAAACCGTACGAAAAAAATACACTTAAGGCTAAACGCGTATTTCGGTATCAATGCATCATTTAGATGATAAAACTATGTGGTTAAGGCTTTTTTTTTTAAATCGCACAGATTTTTCGAGTGACCCCTAGCCATGTTCATATTTTTAACGATAATTATATAACTAAAACAAATAATTAATTCCCAAGTAATTTATATTTATAAAACTTGTTCTCTAGAGCGTGAACGATGTTGTATTATATGATATAATACTTATTTAAATTATTAAATTTTGGATTTAAATTATTCAAATAATTAATTAGAGTACATAATCTTTCCACATTTGAAAGGAAAAAAATAAAAGTTGTTTAAGATATATAAAATAAATGCCTAAACATTTTTTTTTTAGAAAAAAACACAGTGAAATCTCAATAGCCTTAATAGGAAATCATATAAGTTAGACATAATACAAGATAGACTATGAATACTATAATATTACATAACTATTTGAAAGGCTTATGCATTTTTTTTTTATAAATTTGTAAGGATTTTAAATAACTTGCAATATCGAATTATTATCGTATATTAATAAAATCGTTATACATTTTTAAACAAAAATTAAATTATATATAATTTATAATATATAGTTAAATTTATAAAGGAAGAAACAATATTAATATGATGTCCGTCAGCAGTAAACGGTCCCTGAAAAGTAATTATAATTTTGCTATAGTTACATATCTATAATAATTTATATAGTCCCTCGAGCTCCTTTTGTTTGGAGTTTCAATCAAGTCTGAACATTTCACTCGCCTACTAGTCGTAGTATTTTAGATCTAATGAAATCGCTGTTAAACAATTAGCAAAAGGGAAAACGGATATAACAACATATATCATATGATCTGTACACTGTAAACAATGTACATAAAACGTTAGAACCGTTTACAAGGGACGACAAAAAATATTTAACGGAGCATCGGATTAACGTTGACAGTATACCGCGTCGCGGAAGGTAAATCTGGTGAAATAATAGTTTGGGTACAGTCAAGAGATGATAAATATACTAGGAAGATGCAATACAATTAAACGTGATAACCCTTTACTGAGTTTATATAACGACTTCCTTCTTCATTCAACGCAAATTCATGTATAACCGTCCATTCAACACATTATAAAGTATACAGAATACGTAAAACGGAATCAAAACAAATGATCTGAATAGAATGTTTTTACTACCAAGTATAAAGAATGTCGGATTACACCAACCACTATATTAAATCTTCCTAAAAACGAACCATGTTAATCTGACTATTTGCTAGTATTAACACATTAATAACTTGGATAGATGTTATATTGATGCGTAATTTTTAAATGCTTGCATATTTATTAAAATGTAATTCAATTAAATTAAAATCAAACTAAAGAACTTTTAATGTTCTATTACATTTAATGTCGTTTTATAAAAAGAATTGTATATTATTTTTTGAATACAAAGTTTAAGAAACTCTTCTTGAGTTACCTACACCTTTTAAATCGAGAACGATAATATTTATAATTATGATACCTCGATAGTAAAATAAGAGTTCTTTCCCTTGAATGATAGTTTGTCTATTCTCTGATAACATATCGATCATTAAAAAATTATACTTCTAGTTTATTTAAGTATTATATTTTCAATTTTTTTATTACGGACAAATACGTGTCTAATAAAGTATGATTCATGAATACAAATATTTATTTGAAAATAAATCAATAAGTGATACTTTGGCAGTTTTGAAAGTACTGCGTGGAAATCAAATTAGTGGCGGCACCACGAAAAGCTTAAGTTTTACACACTCACTTCCCAAGAATGTGTTAAGCGATAGCGGAAACTATTTTGTTAAAGTGATCCTCTGGCCGAAACGAGTAGTAAAAGTAGTGGTGGATGGGACGGGGAACTTGGCACGGACTATAGCTCAACTTCTCCCTCTTTTGTCTTTTTCTCGCTAACCCACATCTCTATAGTACGAGATTGAATTTATTGTGGTGGTGAAATCGAACAAATTGCAGTTTTCAACAGAATTATCCAATGCCAATCATCGTGCCGAGCCGTTGATAACACTTGTCGAATAAAGGGGAAATCATAAAAATCCCTCTGTTAAGGAAAAAACACGTTTTCCCCACGTATATTTACAAAAACCACACATGCCGTAATCGGGTAGAACCCGATTTTTGCGTACGATTTAACTTTTTGGGAACACGATTGCCTATGTTAGTTGTATAACAATGGAAATCTGTAAAACGTCACGATTGCGTATGAAACATAGCCACATTTTTAATCGTACAATTTTCAAAGGTACACGATAAGTTTTGTGAATTTAAAAAAAAATCAATTTTAAAGTTAAAAACTAAAAATGATCATTAAAATAATTTATAAACATTACTTAATAAATATAATTTAAATAATTAAAAATAACGTACGCAATCGTGTTATGAAAAAGTTACCGGCGATAAGCAGCGTACGTAATCGTATTCTACCCCCTCAGTCTAGGTGTAAAATATATCTAGGTACATTACACTAAATAGAAAATAATTTTTTATACATATTACTTAAGCTTCGATGAGAAAATATAAATTTCCTAAAACAATTTTTTTTGTGTCTGGACCTTCGATAATTTTTTATGTTATAACACCATTGGCCCGATTTCTTTATAATAAAATATGCACTTTAGACCAGAAATAGTGCAATTATGTAATTTATGATAGATAGTAACGTAGTTTTTCCTTCCTTATTTTTTGATTTTGAGATTTTCTTATAGTTTAGTTTTGTTTAATATAATACCAAAATTTACCAAAAAAATTAAAAATATAATTTTTTTTTTATTACATTACATATTTACTACTTGATAGTATTATATTACTATTCGCTTAAAGGTTATAGAAATTGTAATTTACCTTGCCATCTGAGCTGCATACTTTAATACCAGTTACAGTTATCAACAAACAAACTTCTTTTTCGATTGAAACCTGAGAACAAATCAACAAATTAATTTGCTTAACATTAATTGTCGGGTCGATAATTTTTTCTCAAAAACTTATTTAAATTAGAAATACATGTTTTTGAAATTAAAGTAAATATTATACTTTTTGTATTCACTATAATAAAATCCATGACATTATCTAAAAATTGAAATAGCGTTCAAGTTATAGAACATGTGTTTTTTTATTAAAAAAGCCGCCTTTGTACTTTATAAAAACATGCCTATTTTCAACAAAAGTATCTCTTTTTAAAGACTATTAGTTCAAAGATATTTTCGTTATAATCTTATTTAGGTAAAATGCATGAATGTATACTATAGATAATACAGAATTAAAAATACACATTTTATGATTATAATATGTAAATACATGGAATGCAAAAGTTATACAAGTAACAAAAATTGAAGTAAAGAAATAGCTTTGTACTGCTTATTTTTACAAATCGTAATACTGATACCCAGGTTACACTGATAACCAGATGTTTCAGCACCTGTGCTTTTTTTTACATGTACCTCGACTGTTAATGATTTAATTATACTAAAAATGTATTAAATTTTAAATAAAAATAAATTTAAACACTAAAACTGTACAATTCTTAAATATCTTGAGCGGATTAAAAGCAATCCGAATTTTGTACCAATTTCAATTCTACGAGTATAAAAAGATATACGAGTTCATGGACACTTTACTAGGTTATGTTGGGAACGAAGTTTTGAGCTTTCTAAGTTCTATGTATGGTTGCGTTTTAGTATTTTTCGAATTTAATTTAGTTTATTACAAAAGACTCAGAAATGGCTTTGGACTAGCCACGGTCTCACAATTTTGTCATAGCGAAAGCATTTTTTCCACTAAAATGGCTTTTATTCATGCAAAAAATTGTATACGTTAAAAATATTTGTACCCTGAAGTTTATACAAATTATTAAAAAAATAAATTGACAAACAAAAATGTATTAAAACTCCTTTTTATTTTAAATATTGCCGATATAAGTTTATAAATCGCCGGCTTTCAATATACAAATACCTGTGTACCTTCATTACCTGTTCAAACCCGTAAATTCTAAGGTAATTAATTTCAAAATAAAAAAAATATTAGTTCAGAATATTGATTTAATATTCTATTCGATTAAAATTGACAGAATTCATTGTGCGTGTATGTTTGTTTACAATTCAAATTTCGAAGTAGAAATATATATATCGTTTTTCATAAGACAAAGTTATTACAGCTGCGGTAAATGTTTCAGTTTTCAGGGCTCAAAAACAAAATATGAGCCCATTTCAAAACCAACCATGCTTGGGCGTTTTGGATTTAGCATTATCAAAATTGTGGTTGCAACATTTTAATCCCAAACTGTGTAGAAGAACCGTTTTAATTAATATTAACTACACTTCCCTTATTACATATAACTATGCAAATTAACTAAATAAACATTGTAGGGAACGTTAAAATCCGAATTATACTCATTGAGTCTTGTAAGACCAAGTTGGAAACGAGTAGAGATGGTACCTAAAAATAATTATCTTTGCCAACTAAATGTTTACCCTAAGCGAATTTATAAAATAATTATAACCGATATTATGGAATTGCTATAATAAAATATGTAAGTCCATTTATTTATTTTAAGACGTATTTGTTCACACCTGATATTTGAACCTAGTCGTTGGTTTTCAAAGTAAGACATTATCATTCATTTGTCAAATAGCTAAATGTGATAGTTGACTTTATCGAAAACCTTGTATTTATTGTTGTCATTTTCAAAAAGGAGATAATGTTAAGAATTATAATTAGTACACATTCACGGTTAGAACCTTAAGTAATATATAATTTTCAACGTCTCTTTAAATCTTATAAAGAACCTGTCAACAGTTTAAAAGTTTTCATGGGTTAAAAAACTTATCAAAAATAAAGATCATTACTGTTGAAGCGAGATAAACTTTTACTCCTATATCAAAGGCCAAAACTAAAACGCCTATCAAGCAATAAATCTACAATTACAGACAAAATGGACGTTTTAGTATATTATTATTTCACTTTGTTCTAGTCGATTATTAATAAAATAAAAATAAATGTACTTTATAATACAAGTGTATTTTTGTTTTTACATTATTACTAAAAGTTTTGATATGTATAGTACATTACAAAGTAATGTAACTTCAGTACTTAGGTAAAAAAAAACTTGTTGATAGGGTAAAAACCTCTGCTGATAACGGTTTGGTGGTAAATCTAGTTGGTCTTAACGGGAAACACACATTTTGAGAAGCACGCATAATGTTAATCGGGCGTACATAAAAAAGCCACCTCCGTTGCGTCATTGTACTTACTTATACGTGGTCGTTTTATTAAACGTTCGATTTTGTGCTTATGTCCTTTTCCTAAATTTAAAACGGTCCCTTAATGGCAGCGGTACAATTGGTCGGTGCAATGTGTGCTGGCTAAGTTTCTGTTCTGTGAGTTATGGTTCCGATACCACCCATCGAATAGTGTATGTATACTTGCAAAGTTCAATGGCCGATACGAAATGTTTGGATCGACAAGCGCACTAACTTTACTTATAGTATTCTTAATAAAATTTGTCCACTGTAATCATTGACTAAGCTACCGGATGAGTATTTTTTGTATTGCATTTTTTGCATAAACTAATTAGGTATAATACAATAGTTCTGAGGAAAACAAAATGGTATGTATTTACATTTAATGGTTCATACTTCATTGCAATTAATTATTGAAACAATCATGTTGTCATATATGATGGTATTTCAGTTTAAGTGATTTATACGTTTTTAATAATTCATTTATACGATCTACGCGACCAAGTAAAAGTATTGAAATAATTGTAATTAGAAATAACCTAATTTCACCCATTTCCATCGTGGGAATTATGCATACCGTCAATTCAATGCTTTTAAAAAATAGTATTTTTTTGTCTAGAACAATTTTTTTAGGGAGTAGGTTTCATTCATAGATATACACCACTTGTTTCATATAATGTTGCTTTAGTCTTTAATGGTATAAATAATAGCGTCATTTGAGTATGTCACCCAATTCTGTACTTCATAAAATAATTATCTATATGACTAATTTTTATTCAGTTATTTCTAACACATAATATTGTACCTACTACCTACGACAGGTTGAAGAATGGCCAATCGATCCCTGTTGAGACCATTAGAGCGTAGTAGTTTTCTTTATAAAAAAAACTCTGATATTTGCGACTTACTGCTAAGGCTTTTTAGACATCGGAATAAACAAAAACAGAAAAAAGTACAACCTTTTATTTTTTTCTCATTGATTCATTCTTTTTCCTCGCCGCGAACTGCGTCTCGGACAAAAAAAAAACCTTTCGAACAGACGGACAGCGTTTATCACAATAATGGAATGATAGAAGCTGCTTTTCTTCCATTATATCATAACTAAAATATAAAACCCCTTTATAAAGATGGTTATTTATTTTCTTTCTTTTATAAATTACTTATTTTAATTATGTTTTTGTATTCAATTTCACGTGAAATAAAATAATAATAATCGTTAAGAATTAACACTTTTTTCAAAGGTAATGTAAACAAATGTTTATTATAAAAATAAAACTTTTAATTTTATCTCTTCTTCTATAAACAAGTATTTACCAACTCAAAAAATAAAAAACATATATTTGAACCGCTTCGTTATTCCAGAAAAATAATGTAAAACAAATTTAATATAAAAAACTTAAATTAAATAAAAGTTATTTAAGCATTATTTAAATAAACTATAATCAGATGGCTATCTAGGTATTCTTATAAGATGTATTTTAATTTGATTATATTACGAGCATAAAATATACTTGTACATATCTAATAAAATGTTGCAAAGGTATAGAAAATTAATAAAATCAAAATTTAAGGCCAAACATATTCTTATGCTTAAACTTGATTACGTTTCATTTACAAAAGTCATTGAGCAAAAGATTTAAGTAACATAAAATAACATAATATCATAATAAATGGAACATTGCCAATTTTCGATTTTTAAGACAGTCGCTTATGAAGGTCAAAATGAAAAAAAAAAACTTAAAAGTCAAATAATATACCTACATTTGAAAGTTTTGTATTTTTCCGAAAAAACAACATTTTGAAAAAGCAAATGAAAACACTCACGTTCAGGTTTATAATGAATAAAACTCGGAAAAGGCTCGATACAAAATCCAGAATAATATTGAATGTATGAAGAAAAAAGTAACCCTGAGCTGTTGTGAAAATATGTAATCTAGACGTGGCTTAAGGCTATGTTATATTTTAAATAAAGAAAGATAACAAAAAGTCACGAAGTAGAGGCAACCAAGGATAAATACACCTTGAGGTTTTTTAAAATGCGGATGGCATATTATTTTTGAATCTCAAATGTACACAAGTCAATATAATATACCTTCTTATGTACAAGTTCTTCTCTATACATTGTGAAAAATTTGGTAATTCGCTGTCGCCGCGTCTTAAAAATGTCGAATAATAAATAAAGTATTATATTATAATTGTTACAGCTTCTGGTGGAAATTTAAAGAACAAAGTCATTAGCATTTTTAATCCAAAAGTGCATCTTGGTGTGACAAAGATTATGCGACGTAAGATTGTTGTTCGATTTGTTTGTTTATGATGAATGAATAAATGAATAATGTCGGCACGTTTTTAAAAAAATGTATTATATTATATATAAGTATATATAGTTCATAAATTCATAATTTTTGTTTGCTTTAACCAAAATATCCAATTATTAGATACATACAAATTCTTATCTTTTTCAAACCGATGTGTGTGATAATGGTACATAACATTTTGTTGAAAAATTTTTTGGCATATATCTATAGGGTGATCATCTTACCGCGAACTACTCAACATCTCACTGAACTTACTTAATAATAGATTTTTTTTTTCAAAAATGTTTTTATACAATGTGATCTCAGTTTCTCAAAATGTTTTTTGTTTTTACCCAACCTTAGTTTTTTTTATAGCATTTTT